TTATTATTTTTAAATAATCAAGACTCAAGAACCAACCATTGGAATTCATCAACTTTCTCTCTCTGAATGGAGAGTGTGGCAAGATCATCCTTTTCCTACGCATCAAGTGGACCATTCAGATCGATGCCGCCATTTTATAAGCCTTATGCAAATGATAGAGGAAATGAGACATGAAGAGGTAGGGTTTAATTGTAACTTTGTCTTGCTGGTATGATGGTGAAACTAGAGTTCTTAACTTTTATTTTTCCTAATTTGAAGTCATAAGAAATATTTTGTTTTTCTGTAGAGCTCCTTGTGATCTCAAAAAGGAATCACTTTTCTACCTTAAGAGAAGAAATAGATTTAATTGAAGAAGAATATTATCTATAAATATTGATAGATCAGTATAAAATTTTAATATATTGATGGTTTATGTAAACTGTAAAGCTAATTTACGGTTCATGTTGGATTGAGATTTATTGAGATATTTTCTATCATGTAGGTAATTTGGTGTCTCTCTTGTATCCTGATGGAGTTTAGGTAATTACTGGTTCCTTGAGCAGTTTTTTGCTAGTCTTCCTTGAGAGAGTCAGAATAATAAACCTGTTATGAGTGTGAAATCCATAATGCCTGGGTTAGAATCCCAACTCTACTTCTTACTGATTGTGTCTATAAGTAACTTCTTGTGTCTCAGTTTCTTCTGTAAAATAGGAATAATGATAATACTTTGTAGGGTTTTTGTGGGGATTAAATGACCAAATATATATAAAGCACCAAATATATATAAAGCACTTAGAATAGTAGCTGGCACATAATAAGTACTCAATAAATTGTGTCTGTTATTTTCATTATTAGCTATTATTCATGAATACATGTAAATAAAGTAATTAGTTGCAGATCCCAGCAAAATGTGTGCCTTCAAATTAACATATATTCATGGAGTGCCTCCCATGTGCCACACTGTTCCATGCCTTACGGCTACATCTGTGAACAAATCAGATAAAATATTCTGTGTGTGTGGAGCATGTATACTATCAGGGAGACAGATATTGCTCACATTATTATTTAGAAAAGCAGAGAGGTAACTGCTTAAGTTCATGATTAGTGGAGTTATCCTGATTAAAGTAGCATTCTTGAGGAGAAAGAAGGTTGGAGATTGTAGTTTTAGGTACTGACTTAGAGATGAGTAAGACTTAGAAATTCACTATAAGAGTTCTTGATTGAGGGCTTTGTTAAGAATAAAAGTATATTCCAGGTTACAGCCTAGTAGACATACAGATACCATTATTTCAGAAGTTCTAAAACCCGTTCTTAGTTTATTGCCATTGAGAGTAAATTTAACATCCATACAGATGTTTTTCATTAATCTATGTATTAATTTCTTAAGTATCTATTTTTAGGAAATTAGAATAATTGTTGAATTAAATGTTAGAAGTGAAAAAATGATATTTATATTCTTATATATTCATTAAATTTGTTCTTTCTATGAATAGTTATCATGAATCTTTTGTGTATTAAGTACTGTTATACAAAAAATTAACCAATTAAATATAACACAATTTCATAGTAGTATAATTTATCCCTTTTTTTGATTTATCAGAATAATTTTTAAGGTATAAAAGAAAATTATTAGAACAATGTAATATTGTTTAGAAAATATTTTAATATAGACTGAAACTCATTGCTTAGATTTGTCATTTTGTTTTCTTTTGTTGTGATTTTTTTCATTTTCCTTATTTGTAGGGAGAATGCAGCTATGAATTGGAAATTAAATCTTATTTACAAATGGAAGATGTTAGATCAACATTTAGTGCTCCCAGGAACGAATGTAATGATTTTGCCAACAGCACCTTTATTACTCACAACAAATCTTCATTTACAAGGAATATAAATCAAGGCAATTCATTTTCAGTGATGGAATCTGATGAACAATGTGCTGAAATTTTTAAACAAACTCACATCAAACCTACTAAAATTGTTTCTCTAAAGAAAAAGTCTCCTAAAGAAATGAAAAGAGATCAGCTTAAAAAAGAAAATAATAATGGTGTTATAGAATCTTTAGACACTGACAGAAGTTCTACTGTTGAAAATATTTTTCAGGTAGACCTACCAAATGATAAAATGACATTAGATACAGATGGAGTTGCTTCCACATGTACTATTACTGAAAATGTTGTTAATCAGCCATGTATATCAACGGTATGTCAGTTTACAAATAAATCTATTAGTTCACTGGATGGAAATTTTTTAGATTCTGGTTATAACAGTTTCAGTGGTGAAAAATCTGTTTCATCTAACTTGCTTCTTCCATTTGAAGAAGAGCTTTATATTACTAGAATAGATGATCAGTTTTATAATTGTCACTCACTGACAAAAGAGGTACTAGCTAATGTAGAGAGATTTTTATCTCATTCTCCTCCACCTCTCACTGGACTCTCAGATTTAGAATATGAAATTGCTAAGGGTTTTGCACTTGAGAATTTGCTTTTATTACCCTATGCAGAGCATTTGCAAAATGATAAATCCACCTATTTGATGTCACAATTAGCTGTGAATTCTCAACAGAATTTAGAATTGAATTCACTTAAACTTACTAATCATCCTTCTGAAAAAAGTTACCTTTATGATACAACTAATGATAAGATTTCTGATGCACCAAGCTTCTGTGATTGTGATGATAAAGTACATAAAGATATCCAAAAGGAAAATTTAGTACCTAACAATCATGTTCAAATACACAAAGGTCCTGCCAACAATTTAGTTGAAGAAAACAGTAATGATGTCGGTAACAATGACCTCCCAGTGTTGTTCGCTGATCAGGATGAGAGTTTACCATTATTTGAAGATGTTAATACAGAATTTAATGATGTGAGCCATTCTCCCTTGAACAGTAAAGGCAAATCTTTATGTGTGTCAGACAAAACTATGATAAGTGAAACAGCTCTAGTCTCTCAGTTCTTAATTTCTGATGAACTTTTGTTGGACAGTAATTCTGAATCCCAAGATCAAATCATCTGTGGTACTAATCTTTGGAAATCTTATGAAGATTTGAGAGGTATACGTGAGGAAAAAATGAAGAGTAATGAATATGTTTCTGATTGCTCTAGGGATTTATTTTCTGTTACTTTTGATTTAGGATTTCATAGTCCAGATTCTGATGATGAAATATTAGAGCATGCATCAGATACAAATAACAATAGACTTCTAGATGATCTATCTGAAAGGTGTTTGGATATTAAGAAGATAAGCAATGCAAATTATGTTTCAAATCAAGCAGTAATAGGAAGAGATCATGGTGAAAATCTTACAAGTGGAACCATTACTATCCCATCAAATGAAGATATGCAGAGTCCAAATTTTGGGTGTTTTCCACCAAGTGAAGAAAAAAATAAAGAATTTATGTCTCCTGGTTATTCTCAGTTTTCTTCGCCAGTAGGAAAAAAAATTATGAGTACACCACTTTCTGAATCAAAGACACTGAACTCATTTTCTAAGATGAGGAAGGAAATGCCTAAGATGCCAGATTCTAGTAAGGAAAAAGTAAATCTACAAAGTTTCAAAGAAACATTGAATTCAACTTTTGATTGTTCAGGATTTTCTCTAGAGAAAGCTAAAAGCAATGATCAAATATATCTACATCAGCCCTATCATTCTGCTAAAGGTAAGATTCCATCTTTATAAAACTCATAATTCTTTCTAGAACAACTACACTAGAATACTTATGTAATTTTTCCAAATGTAATTTCTTAGTATATGGTTACAATATATATTGAATTAGATAATCGATACATTTTTCTTAAATTGATATTTACTGAGATTTATATATATTTGTGGCATGCATGCCATTTGGAAGGTAGTATGCTAGACACTGAAATATACACAAAAGTATAAGATTTGGCCCTAGGTCTTGATTGTAAGACGCAATTATGTGAGATATACATTTGAAAGGAGGCCAGTAAATTGTGGAAATAACTACCAAATGAATAATAAAAGATTGGCTGTTTAGGAGGTTCAGAGGATGACAAAATTTTGCGTTAGATTAGATTGTGAAGATATCATACATAATGTAGATTTTCATTTTGACTCCTTAGGAATATTTACTATTTGGATATGAAAATAATAAAGAGAGAATTTAGGTGTTATAAAACGAAGAAAGCAAAGGGAAAGAAGAAAAGTGTAAGATTTGGGGGGGATAGTTTGAAGTAGAGGATTTATGTAGTAAAATATTTGAGAAATAAAAATTGTATTCAGAGGATTGAGACCATATATGATAGAAGATCTAGAGGAATATCTTGATTTTTGTGATCTAACTTTTCAGTTATGGAAAAATTAGAAAATATAGTGATAGATGTTTGGTATTAAGGTGATTTAAGTATCTTTTAAATCCTGCTACATAACACAACTCTATTTATAGATTCTTATTGTATCAGGCCATTTATGAACTTTACTCCTTATGGTTGAAGAGAAAGCAGTTGTAGGATAAAATGAGAGTTTCCTCACAACTAAAGGAGGCAGAGCACACTGTATGAGGGAAGGGCACGCTGTAACCCTGGCTTGCGCGAGGCAAAGGCATTACATGTAAAAAATATTTGTACCCCCATAATATCCTGAAATAAAAAAAAGAGAGTTTCCTCTGTAAATCTTTTCCTTATTATATTATTCTCATTAGCATGGAAGGCATGATTCATGAATGTTCTGTTTAAAATGAAAGCATATTGAAGAAAGTTCTGGAAATGTATTTAATTTTAAAACCTAACTATTCTGCATAATCTGGAGTGTACCTGATATATGTATTTTTACTAAGTGTATATTGCCTGTGAGCCTTCAATATTTGCTTTAATACTGCTATGTTAATGGGCGAAATCATTTTTCTGTTATTGTGTCAGATTTTTATTAAAACTTTCTAGCATGGTAGTTAACTACTAATCATGAGCAATATAATTATGAGCACATATATATTAGGGAATTATTTATTAGTGATTTTTTTTTGGTATTTTTTATTCCACCTAATTCAAAGAGAGAATTTAAAGTCATTTACCATGTTATATGTATAAAAATATTTCATTAAAATACCACTAAAGCAGTTAAGATCTTCTGGAATGAGTTGGTTACTATAGCTGAGTCCTGCATTTAACTCTGGCTTCCTTAGAAGGTAATGAAGAAAGAAAAACTAGTTGATTTATACAGTGCTTATCTGCAGAAATGAAACATTCAAGTTTATCTGTCTAGGCAGATGTTTTATTAATAGAGTGTGAGGAGAAATTTACTGGGTGGGTTTGTATTAGTTACCTATTGCTGTTTAATAAATTACTCCAAAAAACTGAGTGGCTTAAAATAAATGTTTATTCACAGTTTCTGTAGGTCAGGAATTTGAAAGTTGCTTAGCTGAGTGGTTCTGGCTTAGGATTTCAACTGGGGTTGTAGTCATCTGAAGGCTTGACTGGCATGGACAATCTGCTTCCAAGATGGCATGTTCAAAAGGGATTGGGGAGTGACTGAAGGTACATAGGCATCGCTAGTCCATGGCCATTCTGAAATCCAGCAGAGCCAAGATTGGAAGTTCCTTCATTAGGACTCAAAGCCTAGGAATAATTCTCCATGATTCTTGGATGCTTGGTCTTTTTCATAACAGGCAGCACCTTTGAATTTTCTTAGCCTGCTTCCTGTTGTAAAAATTTGTGGGTCCCAAGGCTTCTTTTCAATTTTTAGTGTCTCTATCCTTTTCAGTTGTAGCTATATACATTTCTTCCAATAATTCTCATAAATCTTTGTGGGTCTCTTGTGAATCTTACTGGGTTTCATTCCATTAACACTATCCATGCTCACAAATCTTTGGAAGAAAAGTTCTTCTCCACCTTGAGCTTCTGCTGAGATGTCTGGAGGCAATTCCTTAAGATTGTTAGAAGGTCTGTTGTTTGAGAAGATCTCGTTTGAGGAGCATACTTGAAATATTTAAGGGACCTTTTGTCTGACTTACTGGTAGTCTGAGGTACCACCTTTGATATTTCTGAGGTGTTAACAAAGCATTTGCAACTGCACCCTCAGCTTTATAATATTTTCCTGGCAGTCCTCTGGATTTGATCTTTGCTTAGAAGTTTTCTTAATTTTAGCATTGTTTGCTATCTGGAGAAGCTGGGAATTTTCAAAATCAGCAAGTCCCAATTGTTTTGTGTTTAATAGTCCTTTCCTTATTTCTCTCCTTTTGCCTTTTACTCCAACAGCAAAAAGCAACAGGTGGTGTCTTAAAATATTTTGTCTAGAAGTCTTCTTAGCTAGATTGCCTAATCATTTACTAGGTACTTTTTATGCTCTTCATGTTAACTGCAATGTTGCTAAACTTTCTGGTACTACATAAAGGATTTCATTTCCTCCAATTTCCAGTAGGATTTTCCTTACTTTTCTTTAAGGCTGTATCCATTGCTTCCTCAATGGCCTTATTGTTCCTACAATTTCTTTGAGGCTCTTCAAGCCTTCACTAAAACTCTCCTGACGGTTTTTTCATCTTCTGCCCACTGTCTTGTTCCAAAGCTACTTTCTCAGTTTAAGTTAGGGCAACTCCTTATTTCTAGATACCAAAATCTGTATTATTTACCTATTGCTTCATAACAAACTACCGCCAAAACTTAATGACTTAAAATAATAAACATTTATTATCTCAAGGTTTCTGTGGGTTAGGAGTTCAAGTGTGGCTTAGTTGAGTGGTTCTGGCTTAGGATATTTCATGAGGTTGCATCAAGACATTCGCCAGGGCTGCAGTTGTCTGAAAGCTTGAACAGGTTTGGAGGATCTGCTTTTAAGATGGCTCATTCATATCACTGTTGGTAGGAGGCCTTGGTTTCTTGCCATGTGGACCTCTCCATAGGGTTGCTTGCTACGTCCTTAAAACATAGCATCTGGCTCCTCCTAGTGCAAGCAATAAAAGAGAGAGAGAGAGCAAGGTTAAAGCCACAATGTCTTTTATCACTTAGACTCATAAATAATGCACTTTCACTTCCATTATATTCTTTTGTTAGAATCAAGTCACTAAGTCTGGCCCACACTCAAGGGAAGAGGAATTATGATCCACTTGTCAAAGAGAGGAGTATCAAAGAATTTGTGAACATATAAGTGCCACAGGGCTTTTATGGAAGGTTTCATGAAAACACAAAAAGGTGTCTTCTATTAAAACTTTATGAAAGTGCAGAAATAGAACTTCGGTTAAGAACCTAAAAATGTGAAGCATTTGATTTCATCCATGAGGATTTTGTTTTTAACATTCCTCCACCCCATGAATGTGTAGTTCTAGTTATAATATTTTGTTGAATATCTTATCAATTTTTATTTCATGCTTGTATACAAACACACATATACATATACATATATACATATGTACCCATACATAAAAAAAGAATCTTTTCATATATTCTTTTATAGCCTGCATTTTCATGCTTTAACTCCTTCAAATAGGAAGAGAATAAGACACAAAGGACAGAAAAAATACAATAGATTTTAGAGGTAAATTCTAGGTTCATTGACTAATAAAATTATATTTCTACCTTTTTTCTGCCCTCATTTCAGTTAATTTATAAACTTGAACCTCATTCAAATATGTGTTTATTAGCAAAAGCTATTATCTTATTTTCCTCACTGGCACTTTTATTTTTTTATCTCTTCCCATGCTGATTTTTCAGCCAAACTTATTTCTGAAAAACTGTCTTTTTGGAAAGTGAATAAATGTTGAGATTGCCAGAAATAATTCTTATTGTAGCCATTGATAAAATAGATTGTTATCATTGGGTAAACTTAAATCTATTGATCAGATTCATTATTTTTTAAAATAAATTATAGATGAACAATTACTAACAAGTAATGAAAGTGAAGATGATGAGATTTTCCAAAGAAAAAGTAAAAAAGCAAAAGAAAATGTTTTCAAATCCTCTGAGGTAAGTCATTCAGTAATTATAATAATGTAATCACATAAAAGACTATTCTTTTTCATTCTCTGTCTTGAGCTTCTGCTGAGACTTTTGTTACTTTTTACTTTATCTATTTATTTACTTTACCTAGGATCAGAAAAATAGTGAAGTTGATTCTCCGCTTCATGCTGTCAAAAAGCGCAGGGTTCCTGTAAACAGAGTAAGTAAATAACAGATAATGCATAGTAATCCAAATTCCTTTGGAGTAAATATTACAAGAAAAATATGTGTATAGATAAAGACATATATTTAATCTTACAAGCCTATGGTTAATAGAAAAATTGATATTATATCCTATGTGATTAGAATTTCTATCTTCTGTTTTCAGAGTATAGTCACTCCAAGCACAATAAATATAAATATTGGGTAATTTTAGACTCCCTTAAAACCATCCTACTTTTGTCAGTACACTTCAGCAATACAGCAAACATTCATTAAATGTCTACTATGTATCTACTGTGTAAGGTGCTGAGGATACTATAAAGAATATATCCTGATGCTGTCTTAAATCACCTATAATCTAATAGAAGAGACAGATAAATAAACAGATAATTTCAGTATAATATTTTAAATTGAGTGATAAGAAAAGTTAATTCCTTAGCCTAGATCTTGGGAGTTCTGGCAAGATTTTTGAAGATAATACCTTAGTTAAATCTTAAAGTGTATGTGGCAATTAGGCAAAAAAAGGGAGAAGGGAAGACATTTAACAAATGAACGGCTTAAAGAATGACTCAAAGGTGGGAAGCACTGTCTCTATTTTAGATTGTAAAGACAAAAGAGTTCCAGGAAGTAAAGTTGGAGAAAAATTTGGGTCAGTTTTTGGAAGTCTTTATTCTTTCATTTGATTACTGAGTGGGTTTGAAAGAAGGAAAGGAAGGAGTCCAAGATGACCCTGTGGTTTTGGGATTGGGCTGTTTGGCAAGTGTATCACAAATTTAGAGAAGACAAGAAAGAGATGGTGATTCCATGTCGAAGGTGTTTGAGTTTGAGGTTCTTGTGGAATAGTAAAGTGACAGTGTCTGGCAGGCATTGATGGCTGTGAATCTGAAGTTTGGGTAGATGTGCAGGTCTTAAGGCTAATAATATTCGTCTGTCCTCAGCTTATGGTTGACAGCTAAATTTGGAGATGAGCAAATCTTGTGTGTTTTAATTCTCTAATACAATCTAGGATAATTTGTGCAAAATTACAGATGCTCCTTGACATAACAACGGAGTAACATCCTGATAAATGCATTATAAATTGAAAATATCACAAGTTGAGAATGCATTTAATACACCTAACCTACCAAACATCATAGCTTAGCCTAGCCTAGCCTACTATAAATGTACTCAGAACACTTACATTAGCCCACAATTGGGCAAAATCATCTAACATAAAACCTATTTTATAGTAAATTGTTGAACATCACATGTAATTTATTGAATACTGTACTGAAAGTAAAAAACAGAATGGTTATATGGGTACTTAAAGTACAGTTTCTACTGAATACATATTGCTTTTGCACCATTGCAGTAAAAAAATCATAAGCCAAACCATTGTTAGTCAGAGACTGTATAATTAAAAATGCAACCAGATCATATTAACCTTGTGTACTCATAAAACTTCACTAGAAAAATTGCTTTAATTTGCTACCTGAACTAGAACATCTGATTGACTTATCAGAGGTGAATTAAAATATCAATAGTGTTGATGATCAATCTGTTTCAAACTAAAATTATTCCTGTTAATCGAAATTATTTTGATAAACTTTTGCTTCTTTTGATTGGTTTTATATTATTCTGTAAGACATATAGTGGTAGGCCTCATAGTAAAAATTTGTTGTTATATTTGTTTCTTGGTTTGAAAAGATTCTGTATGTTTGGACTGATGTTGACAGCCAAATTTATAGATTTAATTATTTTTCGTGAAGCCCTTGAGGATCTTCTGAAGAAAACGCTGTTAAATTAAATATACAAATTTTCATCAAATATTTTTGATGTAATACTAAATTGAATGAATACCTATACTAGTATTATTTATATTACCTAATTTAGTATTTTAGCATTTAGATTACCTAAATTACTGGTTTTTAAATTCTTAAGTAGTATGTTTTTATAACATGACTCTGAGTTGTGAGAGCAATTTTATTTGTCTAAGAAGAAAATATTGGGCCAAATATTTTAAAAGAAAAATGAAAATAAAAGCAACAACCTTTGAGAAATATACTAAGATAAAATAATCCAACTATTTTTTTCTTATGCAAGAATCTTTTTGAATCATTATAGTTAGAATTATCATCTAGTGATGAGAGTGAGAATTTTTGCAAACCATATCCACAATTAGAAGACTTCAGGGGTTGTAAGAGGAGTGCCAGAAGGGGCATCAAAATCCAAAAGAGACAGAGTCACCTAAAGGTAATCTTTTTTAGTTTCTTTACTTTATACATATATATTATATATCTTATTAATAAAGATCAGTATAAATATCTTGTTTTCAAGTTTTCACATCAAAGTAGATTTCTCTATACATTTTCTTTATAGAAAAAAACCCCTCAATTTTTAAAAATATTTTGACTCCAATTTAGAGTTTTGTTTTGTTTTTTTTTAAGAGTTGGGGTCTTATTCTGTCACCCAGGCTTGAGTGCAGTGGTATCATCATAGCTCATTGCCTGCTCAAACTCTTTGGCTCAAGTGATCCTCCCACCTCAGCCTCCCAAGTAGGTGGGACTACGGGCATGTGCCACCACCCCCAGCTAATTTTTAAATTGTTTTTAAGAAATGGGGTCTCACTGTGTTGCCCAGGCTATACTCAAACTCCTGGCCTCAAGTGATCCTCCTGCCTTGGCCTCCCAAAGTACTGAGATTACAAGTGTGAGCCATTGCACCCGGCCTGTAATTTAGTTATTTTTACTCTCTTGAAAATCTAAAAATGTAGTATTTTTGCTTCTCTGTGTTTTGATACTTTTATCTTACTGTGTTCTGTGATTTTGAAAGACTAGATGAAAAAACTTATGTATTGAGAATTTATGGATCAAATTGAAGACAATGTAGTTACAGAAATCCAAGTTTCAGAATAATTGCTTTTACAATCATTGTATTGTTTTTCTCATCCCTGTGCAATATTCAAATACTTGGAAAAGTGTTCTCAGTGCTTTTGCCTTCTGATTAGTTCTTTTGTGGTGTGATATTTTTCCTGACAAAAACCAATTAGCCAGAAGACTCAGGAGACTTTATGCTTCTTAAGAAACATTCAGAAGCTGACATGCTGACTTGTACTTTATTTTACTCATAACAGAATTATTAAGGGAAATTTTGAAATAGGTATGCTACTTTATCATTTCTTCTTGGAGTTTTCTATTTTTATTATTTTTTTATCTTAAAAGCATTGACAAGATATCCATTTTCCAGAACTATTTCCAATCATGAAATAAAATGATTTTTCTGAGAGGTATCTTCATGTTTTCTAATTTGTCTTAGCATGTAGCTAGGAGATTTTTAGATGATGAAGCAGAACTTTCTGAAGAAGATACAGAATGTATTTCATCAGATGAAAATGATGAGTCAGAAAATGAACAAGATTCCTCATTACTTGATTTCTTAAATGATGAGACTCAACTTTCACAGGCTATAAATGGTAAATGTTATAATGATGCTTTAAATTTTTTTCAATGTTTTTATTGTGGTTATATTTAAATATCTTAATAAGTTTTCAAAGAAATTAGACTTTAAAGGGAATTAAATTTAGTACACATAAAATATTTATTTGGTCATTTTTACTCAGATTCTATAAACTGGCTTTATTTTAGACTTGGTTATTTATAGGCTTCTGCTAATTTGAATATTTCTCTCCAGATTGACCTGGGTGGCTTAAATATCAAATATTCATTTAACAAGTGTTTAGTACCTGCTAAGTACCTATATAAGGCACTTGAGAAAGATATATCGGTGAACAAAATAGACAAAAATGTCTCCTTATGAAGCTTACATTTGAATGGAAGGAGATAGACAATACATATAATAATGAAATTATTTAGTATATTGAAAGATGAAAAAGTTACAGAAAAAATGGAACAAATTGAACAAGATAAGGATTTGTAGTGGCTGGGTAGGGTTGAGGGTATAAATAGTGGACAAGTTGCAATTTTAATTAAGGTCATTAGGAATTGGCCACATTGAGATTGTGACATTTGATCAAACATTGGAAGAAGAGGTCTTTAATGATGTGGATTGCTAAAAGAAACTGAGACACAATGATCAAGTTATTAAATTTGCCAAGTAGGGGAGATCTGCTTGAGCAGATCTTATATACAATAATTTGGAGCAGGTGATTCAGATTGGCTATAACAGAACTGAGAAACACTCTGATTGGCTCTTCAGTATTCTGATCTTTCACAGATCTCAACATTTATTCTGCTCTTGCAATCTCTGATGTTATTTAAAACAGCAGAGTTTCCCAAAGTTCATGACTGTAAAGAAAAAAAGGGTTTAAAAATAAAGTTCTCAGTACTATATCCTTGATACTGATATGATTTGCATGATAAGGTTTTATGCCCTAGATGTTCATTAACAAAAGTAGCTTTTGCAGATTTACAATATAATCTGGTGGAAGAATGTTGATACAAAGATAACAGCCAGTGCAAAGGCTCTGAGGGCTGGAGTGCGTCTAGCCTGTTCCAGGAACAGCATTGTGGCTGGAATGAGGGAGAAAGGAAGTAGCAGGAAGTGAAATAGTGAGCAGCTAGATCATGATCTGACATATTTTAGTAGAATTTCACTAGCATCTGTGTTGATAATGGCCTCGGGGGGAACAAAAGTAGAAGGAGACAAGTTAGGAGGCTGTTGGAATAATTCAGTCAAAGAATGATGGTGGCTTCTACCAAGATGGTAGCAATGAGGAGGCTGAGAAAGATTGGATTCTGGATACATAAAGCTGACAGGATTTTCCAATGAATTAGAAAGACAAAGAAGAGTCAGTGGGCTTGAGCAACAGGAAGGATGTAGTTGCTGTTATCTGATATTTGGAAGACTGCAGATGGAGCAGTTTGGATGGAGAGTGTAGAGGTCTGAAACTCCATTTTAGACACAGTGCATTTGAAATATGTATGATTTCAAAGCTTTTTAAAAAATACCTTGAAATTCATGTATCTTTTGTATTTATGTATCATTTCTTAAGTACTCTTTACTATATTATAACTTTTAAAAATGATAGGCATGAATAAAAACCACTATGTTTCTTGATTTTTGCTTAACTGAAAATTGTGAAACATACTTACTATCGGCTATGGCTTTTTTTCTTTTTTTTTTTGAGACAGAGTCTGGCTCTGTTGCCCTGGCTAGAATTCCATGGCATCAGCCTAGCTCACAGCAACCTCAAACTCCTGGGCTCAAGCGATCCTCCTGCCTCAGCCTCCCGAGTAGCTGGGACTACAGGCATATGCCACCACGCCCAGCTAATTTTTTCTATATATATATTTTTAGTTGTCCAGATAATTTCTTTCTATGTTTTTAGTAGAAACGGGGTCTCGCTCTTGCTCAGGCTGGTCTCGAACTCCTGACCTTGAGCGATCCACCTGCCCAGGCCTCCCAGAGTGCTAGGATTACAGGCGTGAGCCACCGCACCCGGCCTGGCTATGGCTTTTAATGTTTTTAGTGCATGTTTTCTTTTCTGCTTGGATTTCTTATGTGTTTTTGAATACTTCTGTAAATCAGGTATAGTCCTGAGATCTTTATATACTTTTATTTTTAGTGGAAAGGCACTGTGCTAACCATCATTTTTCAGAACAGAGAGATAGCTAAGTCAGAGAGCTTAAATAAATTGTCCATGGTTACCCAAGTAGATGATATGATTTCAAAGGCAAAACTCCTATCTTTGCATTTTTGAATAATTGCTTTTAGACATATTTCAATATATATCTTTTGTGTTTGAATCATGTATAAATGGCTGAAGTTAAATACTTTGCTAGTTTTCATTTAAATAATTTTGCCATTTTATTTTAAATTCTTATTATCTTTATACAGATTCTGAAATGAGAGCTATTTATATGAAATCTGTGCGTAGTCCATTGATGAGCACTAAGTACAAAATAATCCATAAGAAACGTAGCAACATAAACATTTTCTCACAGGTATGAACTATAGAAATATAATGAAGAATTTCCTAGTGGTAATGTTGAAATATGTTCCCATCAATGAAGCCTCCATTTTGTTTCTAAAACTGGACTATCAGCGCTATTTGGGATAATTTCTGCTAAAAGTCAAGAAGGTGGACTGAATGAATTCCCAAGATCCCTTTTAGTTCTAATTTGATCAAATTATCCTTTCTTTAATTTGAGCTAACTAGAATATACTATGAAATTTTCAATTAGAATGTTTAAAGGAAGTGACGAGAATTTCACCAACTAGTTATTTTTTAAATTTTCGTACACTGCCTTATTTCTCTTTAATTTTTTTCATAAAAATGTTATAGTGTAAAACTTAGATTATATTTCATTTATAAATAACAAATTCATATTAGTATTTTTTGTTTATAAATTACCATGTTCAGCTTGGTAATATGTACTCTCTCTATTTCCATTGTGCTTATTATATAGCATTTATAATTTATCATCTTTTATTATTGTTTACTTTTCTGGCTACCTGCACTAGATTATAAATTTCTAGGGGGTAAATCATCCTTTTTCTTTATCCCTAAACTTGCCATTTTCCTCCATAAAGAATATACTCAGTATATATTAGTTGAGTAAGTGACCAAATTAATAAAGTAAATGAAATAAATATTAATGAAGATCTCATGTGCTTAAAAGTATATGTTAAATATCTGTTGATTATTTAAAATATTTTTGTGTTATTATTGTAGATTCCTGAGCAAGATGAGACCTATTTAGAAGATAGTTTTTGTGTTGATGAAGGAGAGTCTTGCAAAAGCCAATCAAGTGAAGAAGAAGTTTGTGTTGATTTTAACTTAATAAATGAAGATTGCTTTGCAAATGGGAGTAAAAAATATAAAACCCGACGTGCAGTACTGCTAAAACAAATGGTGAAACAAAATTGTGCACGATCAAAAAAGAAATTTTCCAGAATTATTTTACCAGATGATTCAAGTGAGGAGGAAAACAATGTAAACGGTGAAAGAGAATCCAATATTGCGGTTAACCCAAGCACCATTAACAAGAACAGACAACAGGACCATTGTTTGAATTTAGTACCTTCTGGGTCTTCATTGCAATCCGGAGTCCATTCTAATCCGATAGCTAATCAATCAACAAAGCAGAGACAACAGACACCACTTAATTTAAAGGATATAATTTCTGAAGTCTCAGACTTCAAACCTCAGAGCCATAATAAAATTGAATCCACCTCACCACCATTCACTTCTGTTGATTCACAGAAAGACTATAGAAAATTTCCAATTCCGTTGAAGGTATGGATCAAATAAAAGAAAAAAAGCCTTTTTAGGTTTACCAAAAGTTTTTCTTTTTAATTTCTTCTTTTGTGTGTTTTGTATTAAATAACTATGTCAAAGAAAAATTAGCAAAATTTTAAGAAAATGTCTTCAACAGGGAAACAGTACACTAAATTATATACGCAATTCATAGGATACTTAGGTTTATGTATTAATTGTTTTTAATAATACTCTATAAGGAAACAATAATTTTATTAAAAAGATGTAGGAAAATAGGGCTTTCTACAAAATGAAATTAACAGAAATGATGTTTTCACAACTGGTTCCCAGATTAATTTTTCTTCTCCCCAAAGGACTTCAAGTATGTAACTCTATTAGGGAAAGAAGTTTGGGTATACTGTCTGGTTTTCTTCCTTAAAGTTTCTTTCCATTTCTTTCCAGAGTGACTACTAAGTAGTCCAGTTTTACCTTCTGCCTTTCTTACTATTTTTGAAAGAATCACTGAAACCATTTTCATTTTTAAAGAGTTTATAGTTATAATAATTTTGCTAAATAGGGGTTAATTAAAGTCATAGTAATAGGAACCTCTAACTGTAAATAATGATTCATTTCTTTGATTATCTAAGGAGACTGAAACATAGACTTTCAAAAAACTAATTTTTTTTTTTTTTTTTGAGACAGAGTCTCACTCTGTTGCCCGGGCTAGAGTGCCATGGTGTCAGCCTAGCTCACAGCAACCTCACACTCCTGGGCTCAAGTGATCCTCCTGCCTCAGCCTCCGAGTAGCTGGGACTACAGGTCCACAACACCACACCTGGCTAATTTTTTCTGTTTTTGGTATAGACAGGGTCTCACTGTTGCTGAGGCTAGCCTCAAACTTCTGACCTCAAGGGATCCACCCTCCTCCGCCTCCCAGTGCTAGGATTACAGGTGTGAGCCACTGCACCCAGCCACTTTCTCAGTGTTTTTTAAGAATACAGTACCTATTGCTGGGCTTGGTGGCTCACTCCTGTAATCCTAGCATTCTGGGACGCTAAGACTGGAGGATTGCTAGAGGCCAGGAGTTAAAGACCAGCCTGAGAAACGTAGTGAGACCCTGTCTTTACAGAAAATAAAAAATTAGCCAGGTGTCGTTGCACACACCTGTACTAGCTACTTGGGAGGCTGAGGCTGGAGGATCACTTGAGCCCAGTAGTTTGAGATTGTGACCTATGATGATACCACTGCACTGTAACCCAGGCAACAGAGTGAAAGTCTGCCTCAAAAAAAATATATATATATATTGTTATTAACTATAGTCACCATGTTGTACATCTGATCTCTCAAAATTACTCTTCTTATCTAACTGAATTTTTTTACTCTTTGACCAACATCTCCCCAACACCCTTGTCTCTCACCTCCAGCCTCTGCTAATCACCATTCTACTCTTTGCTTCTATTTCTCTTTTATTCCCAGGATGTTTCACTTCATTCTGCCATAGCAACATGCTCTACGGTGTCCACACAATTGTCCTCAAATTGGTGTTTCCAGTTCTAAATTGTACTTTGCCTTTCTTCGACAGTTATTTCTTGAAGGCATAATTAGGATAAAATTGACTAGATTAAGTTTTTAAAGTAGATTGGAAAAAAAAGTACTTAATTTCTTTGAGCTTTAATATCCTTATCTATAGTATAAAGATAGTAATCCCAAGGAGCAGATTATATGTACAGTATTTTAAACAAAATTTTAATTTTTAATTGACATATAAATAACACTTGTATATATTTATGGGGTACATACTGATGTGTCCACATATTATGTATAGGGATCAGGTCAGGGTAATTAGCATATCTGTCATCTTAAACATTTATCATTTCTTTGTGTTAGGAACATTCAACATCTTCCTTTCAGCAATTTGAAACAATAACAGTATGTTATTAACTGTAGTTATCCAACAGGAGTATAGAACACTGGAACTTACCTTCCTACCTAGCTGTAATTTTGTATCCTTTAACAAATCTCTTCTCTAAATCCTTCTTCCCCCTACCTTTTCCAGCCTCTAGTAGCCTCTGTTTTACTTTTTAGTTCTGTGAGATCAATATTTTTTTAGCATCCACATACAAGTGAGAACATGTGGTGTTTAGCTTTCTGTTCTTGGCTTATGTCACTTAACATAATGTCCTCTAGTTCCATCCATGTTGCCATTAATGACAGGATTTCATTCTTTTTTATGGCTGAATAGAATTCCATTTGTGTGTGTGTGTGTGTATACACTACATTTTCTTTATTCATCTGTTGTTGGATTCCTACCTTGATTCCATATCTTTGCTATTGTGGATCATGTTGCAGTAAACGGGCTGCAAATGTCTCTTCAATATACTGATTTCCTTTCCTTTGGATAAATTCCTAGTAATGGGATTGCTGGTTCATATTGTAGTTCTGTTTGTAGCTTTTTGAAGACCCTCCATACTTTCTCCATAGTGGCTGTACTAGTTTACATTCCCAACAAAAGTGTATAAGAGCTCACTTTTCTCTACATCCCTACTAGCATTTGGTAATTTTTAAGTTTTTTTTTTTTTAATTTATTTTTTTAGAGACAGGGTCTCGCTGCGTTGCTAAGGCTAGAGTGCAGTGGCCTGATCATAGTTCTGCAGCCTTGAACTCTTGGCCTCAAGCTATCCTCCTGCCTCAGCCTCCCTGGTAGCTGGGACTACAGGAAGGTGGCCCCACACTCAGCTAATTGTTTTATTTTTTGTAGAGATTGGGTTTCCCTATGTTGCCCCAGTTGGTCTCAAACTTCTGGCCTCAAGCAATCCTCCTGCCTCGCCCTCCCAAAGTGCTGGGATTACAGGTGTGAGTACCACACCTGGCCAGATACATTCATATTTCTAACCTTCCTTAGATAAACAGCAGCATACAACACATACTTTTTTCCTCCTTGCTGTTTCACTGAAAAATATATCCTAAGGTTTCACTCTATAGTAACATATAGATATATATTCCTCATTACTTTGTATAGCTGTATACTCCTTCCTTGTATGATTTTATAATAATTTATTCAGCAGTTCCATATTGATGCACATTTGGGTTGTTTCTAATCTTTCATTCTTATAAATAGTCTTATTCATAAGACACATAGCCATGTGCATGTTTTCTCATGTTTTGCCAGTGTAGCTTTGGGATGAATTCCTTGAAGTGTTTTTGCGGTAAAAGGTAAATGCACATGTAATGTTGCCAGATAGTGCTAACTTCTCTGTAGGGGTTGTACCATTTGTTATTACTGTCAGACTGTAGAAGAATTCCTGATTCCTCCAGAGCCTCATCAACAGAGAATGTTGTCAATTAGTGAGAAATGATATTTCCATATAGTTTCAAATTTATATTTTCCTTATAGCAAAGCCGAAAACATCTTACTGTTTTATACATTCATTCATATGGCATTTCTTTTCTGAGAGCACTTTAAATTGTTTGAGGTTTTTGTGGAACACACAGATATTGTGTATTCTTGCTTCAAACCCACATGAGGGCTGGAGGGCTAGTTGGAGATAGGATTTTTGTAGAGAGGATTTTGTAGTTTGTAGAGAGGATTTTTTCCCCCATGCCCGGTGCCTCTGTCAAAAGAGGAGCTCATGTTCAAAAGGATTTGGCAGATACTTTGCAAAGGAAACCTGTTTTTCTTCTGGCTTAATTAACTTCCAGGAGTCTCACTTTTACTCTGTTTTTTATCTCGGTGCATTCCTTACTTTCTTGTCAGCCCAGGTATGTATTTTTAAATATTTTTTAAAAACGTGTTATTTAGCAGGTTTAGTTGCTTTCGGCTAGAGATACTTTCTGGTTATCCAATCTCCGAATTATTTTCCAATTATCTTGTTAATTTCCTCTTTCTTTGAGATGCAGTCTAATCTGTTTTAAGGTTGTTATTTAACCTTCCATTCATTTGGTTTCTCCGGGCTAAAAATTATAATTTTCCTTTTGCATTTATTTCCTTTCCTGTTCATTTTTAGGCTTTCTCCTGTTTCTTCACATCCTTCTCTTCTTAGCTTTTGTTTTTAATTATAGCTTTACAATATTTTTTGAGTTTTAAGAGTGGTGGCTTGTTTGTTCCTTCACCTGTTGCCACATGGTTATGTTGAAGAAAGAAAAAAAGAACATTATCAGTAAGGAGGATCAACTTCAGTGTGAGAAGTTTATGGTGCTAATATATATTTAATCTGATTGTGATCAGTGTTTTCTGCTTTTTCAGGTTGGTGTTCTGGAGGATTCTAGCACTTCAGGAGCATACTGTTCCAGTTCAAGCCCATATTTGTCTGGGACATATACTTCTCTTAGACTTCCACAGAAAGGAAAAAGAACCTGTATTCTTGTAGATAGTCATGAAATCACTTCTGGTTTAGAAGTAATTTCTTCCCTAAGAGCAATTCATGGATTAGAAGTAGAGGTTTGTCCTCTTAATGGCTGTGATTACATTGTGAGTAACCGCATGGTGGTGGAAAGGAGGTCTCAATCTGAGATGTTAAATAGTGTTAGTAAGAACAAGCTCATTGAACAGATCCAGCACCTGCGGAGCATGTTTGAAAGAATATGTGTGATTGTGGAAAAGGACAGAGAAAAAACAGGTTTGTATTTTAAAATATCATTGTTTATAAGACTGTACAGGAACTTGACTAGTTATTCTGTCAGAATGTGGGAAACTCTTAAAATATAAGTACCTGATTGATGAATGTCATTTCATATTTTCATAATGTCATGATTTTTTTTGTTAGTCATTGTATTTAAAGGCAGCTTCGGAGAATTGAATGGTAAGAAATTGAAAACAAGTGAACAAACCTAAGACTTTTTCAGGAACCCAGAAAGGATGAGGGCCTTAACTAAGGCAGCAATGGAGAAAAGAAGTAGGATTCAGGAGATGTTTAAGAGCCAAGATTAGTAGGAGTTGGTGGGAAGAGTTGAGAATCACTCTGAGTTAACCAACGTCTTGGTTACTGGGCAGTTAGGTGTTGTTTATTGCAATTATGAATATAAGAGAAGCAGCAGATTTGAGGGGGAAGGGTAGCTCAATTCTGAACATGTTGAGTTCTCAGTGGATCACTGAAGTGGGTGCCTAGGATGCATTTGGAAATGCAGGATTGGAGTTTCAATTAGGGAATTTCTGTGGTAATTATTCAATTGTGTGGGGAGCCCTCAAGAATAGTGAAAAGATCATGAGATGTAGAATCAGAAGATGCACTGATTTCTGGTTTCTCAGTAGCTATGTGACAACGCATGGACAAAGCACTCCCCCTGAGGTATTGATAATATACTTGTCCTACTCATCTTGTGATATCATGAGGATTAAGTGAAATCATGTAGGCAAAAGCCGTTATGGAAGAACTGAAGAATTATACATAAAAGAGAATAGTGTAGTTTGGGTAAAACATTGTTTTGGAAATTGGGCAACTTTTTCATCTTTATGCTGTCATTGGTGAATCATGTGACCTTACATAGCTCACTTTAAATTTCAGCAACCCAATTTTTTTTCTTTTTAATTTGAAAAGCAAGGGATAAAGGAAACAGATTTGGAATAGAGAGGAAAGTAACATGGTGAAAGTTATGGAGAAGTATCTTGTGGGGAGGCATGATGGGGAATGCCAATAAAAGGATGTAAGTAGAATATGGAAGAGAAAATGAACAGGAAAAGTAGGGGTGTAAATTAATTGGCAAGATGACATTAAAATGGGTATAAAGGGTATTTGTTGAGTTACTCACTGAGTTACATAATTTTATATTAGTTAAACCAATACTTAATGAGCCCTTCATCAGTGCTAGAATGAAAAATTATAGAGATGAGTGATATTGTCTTGGCCTTCAGGAATGAATTATCTAAGAATATAAGCTTTCCCTTTCCTATTCACCCTTCCTGTGTTGATTCCAGTTCAAGACACTCTTAGTTCTCTCTATTTTATCTCTCAGATATTTTTTTTTTAATTTTTTTTTTTATTTCAGCATATTATGGGCGTACAGATGTTTAGGTTACGTGTGTTGCCCTTGGTTCCCCCCCCCACCGAAGTCCGTGTTTCAAATATGTCCATCCTTCGGGTAGTGCGCATTGCACTCCTTGTGTATACAAATACCCGTCCCCTCCTCCCTTGTCTCTCAGATATTTGAGAATCACTTTAAAACTGTAACTCTAGGGTTTCTCATTAGCAGAATATGACACTAGTTCGCTCAATGGTATAGATCTTGGGATTTTAATAACAATGTATATTAACAATTCTATTTATTATTAGTGGCTAATGTTTGCATTTTCCTAAATATCAAATATTTAGGAGAGACATCAAGGATATTTAGGAGAACAAAGAGCTATGACAGCCTGCTGACTACCTTAATTGGTGCCGGAATCCGAATTCTTTTCAGTTCCTGCCAAGAAGAAACTGCATATTTGCTAAAGGAATTGTCTTTAGTGGAACAAAGAAAGAATGTTGGTATTCATGTTCCAACAGTGGTGAATAGTAGTAAATGTGAGGCACTTTTGTTTTATTTAAGTATTCCAAATATAAGTTATGTAACGGCATTAAATATGTGTCACCAATTTTCATCTGTGAAAAAGATGGCTAACAGGTATGTCCATTTTAATAATAGTTTTAAATGATTACCTTTTAAAGATTCTTAAAAGCATTTAATAGAATTTTAATATTTTTAAAAAATTAAGAGGTATGTGCTTGTTAGATTATTGTATTCAGTAAAGATTTTTTTGCCTGCCAGTATGTATCAGTTACTGTATGAAGCTGAGGGACATTAATAAGGAAAAAAATGAAAAAGAAAAAAGGTATAGAAGCATTGCCTTCAAGGAGCTTAGAGCCATAGCCATAGGGGAGATAGACAATAAAAGCATTTACATTTGACCTTGCATTCTAACTTTTCTGGGCTGTTCAGTTCTTTAACTAGAAGAATGTTCAAGCTGAGAATTTTACTAGTTTTGATCATTATATTGCCTGAAGATGGAGATTTTAGAACACAGGTTCATTTTAATTAAAGGCCCACATAAGATATTGTATTAGCTCAGGCTTCTATAACAAAATACCATAAACTACTTGCTTTATATACAACAGAAATTTATTTCTCACAGTTTTGGATGCTGTAAGTCTGAGATCAGGGTGCCAGCATGATTGGGTTCTGGCAAGGGCCTTCTGTTTTTTTACAGACTACTGACTTCCCGTTGTATCCTCACATGGCAGAAATAGAGCTAGCTAGCTTTCTGGCCTCTTCTTGTAAGAGCACTGAGGGGTCCACCCTTATGACCTAATTACCTCCCAAATACCCCGCACCTCAAAATACATTAGGATTAGAGTTTCAACATATGAATTTTGAGGGGACATAAACGTTTGATTCATTGCATATGTTAAAATCATTGTTATTACAGATGATTTTAAATAAAGGAAACAAATACATTTTTGTTTTGTTCAATGCTAAAATATCAACTAGCTGTATAATGCTTAGGAAGAGATGATTTTCTTAAAGGCTATTGTGTTTGGTGTTAAGTAAGATATTAAATTTTATAAAAGTCAGAAGTTCTAGTGTAATGATTTTATCTAATTTATTTTTCAGCTCACCTCAAGAAATCTCCATGTATGCACAAGTAACTCATCAAAAGGCTGAGGAGATCTATAGATATATTCACTATGTATTTGACATACAAATGTTATCAAATGATATTAACCAAAGTAGACTGAAGTCTGATGCGTGATTAGACTGCTCAAGATGCGGACGTGAAAGAACTTTCGCAATACTAAATGCACTTCAATAATCATTGCTGTGGTTTGTGATTATCTGTTTAAAATTCGTAAATAAGAGAATATTTCCTTATCACTTAAAGATATTATTTTATATTGTGTCCATTTTTATTTATAGATTATAGAAATTATTTAAAAAGAAAACCTGATGTTCTATAATTATTTTGACTAGATTATGAACCCATTTTTTTATTGAATAAAACAAGGCATATTAAAGGTATTACTTAGACTAGTTTAAGAAAGTAAGAGCTGAGTTAGAGAAGTATTTTGGAATTTTTCCCAAGATTAAAGTATGTACTATTGTTATTATTAGCATAGTAAGGTTGATGTGATGATGACTGCTGCCAATGTGGTCGTAAACAGTTTTCCTATATATAAGCTATAACATCTAGAATATTTTAAATGCACTTAATCCATACTGGGTAACGTGTAGGTGGTGGGAGTGCAGTGAGGTAAGTGACCTGTAATTAGGAAAGTAGAAAATTTAACTGAATATGTTTATCTTACTAAAAGTGTTTCAGTCTAGTACAGTCAAATCCTATTAATATGAACTCCAAGTTACATTACTTTTTTTTTTGTTAAAATATATTCAAAGAAGAAGTATATTGGCTTGGAAAATTTCTTTTTAGCATAAATTATTGAATGTGAACCCATTTTGTCGACCTATTATATTGTCTGTGATGCTATTAAGATGGCTTCATGTGTATATCTGCAACATGTATGAGGCTCTGTCTTCTAGTCAGTCTAATACTAAAGAAAACTTTAATTATGGGCATCCCCCCACCCCATTTAGCATCCTTTATTCTCTGGGTGTCTTATTTTTTTTTTCTGTTACATTGTTGGATAGTTGAATTAACTTCACAACAGAGTGCTTTCCTCACCTTAGACCTGCCAGGGACTTCAGAGCTCATCTAATTCAAATTGATTTTCTCTTTCCTTTCTTATCAGGTGGTAAAAGTAAGTCCCAGAAACAAGTGACTTATTCAAGGTTAGACTGGCAAATCTTAGAAGAACCACAACCCAGGAACTAGATATATTAATAGTTCTCTTTCACTCTACTGTATTGATAAAAGGGGACAAAAAAAAGTTAAGTTACTCTAATTATGAACACAGCTCCTTTAAGGTATAGCATAAACTCTGAATTCTTCTGAAAGCAGCTGACCTCATATATTTGCTGTTCAATAATTCTCTCAAAGCCACAGAGAGAAGCGCTATAATTTATTGGCTGGTGTGTAGTTACCAGTTTATTACTTCTCAGATCCCAATTCACCCTTCAGTATCCATTCTGCAAAAATAACTGAACTGTGAGCATTTCTCCTTTAGCAGTGAGCACAATGCTACGCTTTGTCAGGAGGAAAGCGTTCTCTCTTCCTGGTTCCACTGTGCTGCTGCTTGATGCTTCATGTTCCTGCTACATGGCCTGTCAATTGTGGATGGGGACATCTGGTGGTACTGTGCCCCAGCTGCATGCCAGAAGCATGCAGTCCTTCACACTACATTGACGTGGGCTGGCTGATCTACTTGCAGCACCTCTCACATGCTGACTCCCTTTGTGTGTCTGCCCATCAGACAAAAAAATAACATAAATTAATGTGGTGTGAAGGACATAACCGAGAGGATTTCATTTATTTATGCTTGCTGTGTGGTGAGCTGTCTCTATCCACATTTAAGCTTGCAATAGCCTACTCCCATACTTTCATTCGTCGCCCTTAACTATTAATATTAACCGTATTGATTGTCAATCCATCCTTATTCTAATTCTTGAGTCCTTACACTCTTTTACACTTTTAAGTCTCCTCTGGAGGTTACTTACCTTAAACCTTATTATTGCTTAGCTTATGACCTGGTTGTAAGAAATAAGACTAACCAAGTACCTGGCAGTGAGCTACCTTAGAATAGAATAGACACAGGGAATATGGGCAGGAGGGGTCAGAATTATGGTTCGAGTCAACTCTATGCCATTTCAAAATTACCTTTTTGGTTTTTGGTTTTTGCTAAGGAAATTTACCACCTTCTTAACTCCTGAAACACTACCTATTAAGTTTAAGCAGCATATTGGCAACTTAAGTTCTACAACAGTATTTTTTAGGGCCTCTCTAAAATAATGCTTTCTTTAGTTCCATCCTACATCTACCAAAGGTCTTTGTGGTAGAAATAATTATGGTCGTTTCAAGATGAATGAATCTTAGGCCAATTACACTATTCTATTTATCTATTTTTGTTTTTAATTTTTAATTATGGGTACATAATAGTTATATATAAATATATATAAATATATAGGGTACATGTGCTGTTTGATACAAGCATACAATGTGTAACAATCAAATCTGGATAGCAGGTATCCATCACCTCAAGCATTTGTCATTTCTTTGTGTTAGGAACATTCTAATTCCAGTTTTAGTTATTTTTAAAGTATACTATAACTTACTGATTATAGTCACTTTGTTGTGCTATCAAATATTATTCATTCCATCTAACTGTATTTCTGGACCCATTAACCATCCCCATGTAATCCCCCACCCACTACCCTTCCCAGCCTTTGGTAACCATCATTCTACTCTCTATGAGATCAATTATTTTAATATTTAGCTCCCACATATGAGTAAGAACATGTGAAATTTATCTTTCAGTGCTTGACTTATTTCACTTAATGTTCAACAGTTCCATCCATGTTGTTGGAAAGGATTTCATTCCTTTTTATGGTAGAATAATATCCCATTGTGTATATGTACTACATTTTCTTTATCCATTCATCCATTGATGGACACTTAGATTGATTCCAAATCTTGCCTCTTGTGAATAGTGCTGCAGTAAACATGGGATTCAGCTATCATTCCGATATACTGATTTGCTTTCTTTTAGAAAGTAGGATTGCTGGGTCATATGGTAGTTCTATTTTTAGTTTTTTTGAGGAAACTCCATATTGTTCTCCAAAGAGGTTGCACTAATTTACGTTCCCAAAAGTGTAAGAGGGTTACCCTTTCTCCATGTCCTTACCAACATTCCTTATTGCCTGTCTTTTTGATGAAAGTCATTTTAACTGGGGTGAGATAATATCTCATTGTAGTTCTGATTTGCATTTCTCTGATGACTAATGATGTTAAGCATTTTTTCATATATGGGGCAGCCATTTGTATGTCTTCTTTTGAGAAATGTCTATTCAGACTACCCATTTTTTAATCAGATTATTTCATTTTTTCCTATTGAGTAGCTCCTTTATGTATTCTAGAGCTTCTTATATTTTCTAGTTATTAATCGCTTGTCAAATGGGTAGTTTGAAAATATTTTCTCCCATTCTATGGGTTGTCTCTTCACTTTGATTATTTCCTTTGCTATGCAGAAGTGCTTTAGCTTGATGTGACCCCATTTATCTAATTTTGCTTTGGTTGCCTGTGCTTTTGGGGTATTACTCAAGAAATCATCACCCAGACTAATGTCCTGGGGCATCTCCCCAATGTTTTCTTTTAGTAGTTTCATAGTTTAAGGTCTTAGATTTAAGTCTTTAATCCATTTTGATTTAATTTTTATATATGGCAAGAGATAAGGACCTGGTTTCATTCTTCTGCATATGGATATCCAGTTTTCCCAGCACCATTCATTGAAGAGACTATCCTTTCCCCACTGTATTTTCTTGACATCTTTGTCAAAAATAAGTGCACTACAGATGTGTAGATTTATTTCGAGATTCTCTATTCTGTTTCACTGGTCTGTGTGTCTATTTTTATGTTACTATCATGCTGTTTTGGTTACTACAGCTCTGTGGTATAATTTGAAGTTTGGTAGTGTGATGTCTTCAGTTTTGTTCTTTTTGCTCTCAGGATGGCTTTGGCTCTTCTGGGTCTTTAGTGTTTCCATATAAATTTTAGGATTATTTTTTCTATTTCTATAAAGAATGTTGTTTATATTCTGATAGGGATTGCATTGAGTCTGTAGATTGCTTTGGGTAGTATGGACATTTTTACAATTCGATTCTTCAAAACCATGAGCATGGCGGTGTCGTCTTCAATTTTTTCATTGATGTTTTATAGTTTTCATGGTAGAGATCTTTCACTTTTTTTGGTTAAGTTTATTCCTAAATATTTTATTTTATTTGTAGCTATTATAAATGAGATTACTTTCTTGGTTTCTTTTTCAAGTTGTTTGCTTGTTGGCATATAGAAATGCCACCAATTGTTGTATATTGATTTTGTATCCTGCAAATTTACTGAGTGTGTTTATCAGTTCTAATAGTTTTTGGATAGAATTTTTAGGTTTCTCTAGATACAAAATCATATCATCTGCAAACAAGGATAATTTGACTTCTTCCTTTCCAATTTGAATGTCTTTTCTTTCTTTCGTTTGATTGCTCTAGCTAGAACTTCTAGTACTGTGTTGAATAACAGTGGTGAAAGTGGGCATCCCCGTCTTTCTTCTTCCAGATCTTACAGGAAATGTTTTCAGATTTTCCCCATTCAGTATATTAGCTGTGGGTCTGTCATATATGTCTTTTATGGTGTCGAGGTATATTTCTTCTATGCCAGTTTTTTGAAAATTTTACCTAATGCTTTTTCAGCATTAATTGAAATGATCATATGGTTTTTGTCCTTCATTCTGGTGATAAGATGTAGCATATGGAAATTTGTGTATATTGAACCATCCTTGCATCCCTGGGATGAATCACACTTGATAAATAACCTTTTAATGTGTTGTTGAATTCCATTTGCTAGTATTTTGTTGAGGAATTTTGCATTTGCATTCATCAGATACATTTGCTTATAGTTTTTTTTTGTTGTGTCTTTGTCTGGTTTTGGTATCAGGGTGATACAGACCTTGTAGAATGAGTTTGGGAGTATTCCCTCCTCCTCAATTTTTTTTTTTTTTTTTTGAGACAGAGTCTCACTCTTTTGCCCGGGCTAGAGTGAGTGCCGTGGCGTCAGCCTAGCTCACAGCAACCTCAAACTCCTGGGCTCAAGCA